GGATTTCTCCACTGTGGCTTTCAAGTGGTTCTATTCACAAAACAAAACCGTCACTGTTGGGGTATATTACCTGCTCCTCGGCAGTCAGATAGTCAAATGGATGGTACTAAACAAGTACAAGAAGGCCACCATTGCTCGCCACGCTGCCAGGCATCGAGTAACCGACCGCATTATTGGTCAGACACAAACAATACTGAGAGCTGGGTTCAATTGCCTTATTCGCCCGACCCACAGCAGTGCAGTTTCCTGTAAGGTCAGCAGAACGTATTAAGGGCAAACGCCACGACATTTTGTCGAAGGTGGAAGGGGATCTCAACAGCGATTTATTCGCTTTTGTTGACAAAACGAAGGTGTTGAGGTCTAAAGGCCTCCTGTACACTGGGAGCGTGTCATTGGTGGGAGAAAGATTCACTTATCTCGAAGCCAAAATATTACTTTATCTGTGTTCCTCCTCTTTTTATTCATATAAAACCTCCCACGTTTTTGAATGGGACGACCTAAGATAACGCGTCAGAACGGACACTAAAGGCAGCGCTGTACCATTGCAGTCTTGAGGCAGTGAACTTTCTGGCATTTTGCCGATTAATGGTGAACAACGGTAAGACAAAGAGGGAAGCTGAAAGTAACAAATGATGACTGATCAACAGTAATATGTCATCCCATTCAAAGTGGCCGATGGTTTTTTTTGAATAAACAAAGAGGAGAATAGATAGAAAAGTGATATTTTAGCTTTAGGATGAGTAAATCCCTCCTTCACCAATGACCCGCTCCCAGTGCCCCGAGGGCCTTTGGACCTCTGGTACCTTCGATTTTTCAACAAGTGTGAGTAAATTGCTGTTGTTGCCAATTTCGGCAAATGACAAAACATTGTAGCGTCTGCCGTCGAAGAGTACTCTCTACTGAATAGAACAGTTGTAATCGCATGGCATGATGGGCGAATGGGACGATTGAACTCAGGTCTCAGTATTGTTTGTGTCCCAGCACTGATCTACAATACAGTTACTCAGACATTTCTCGGCCGTCGATAATTGCTCAAACGGTATAGCAGTTCTCATTTTCAAATGGGCCAGCAGAAAGTTCGATCCGAAGTGTTTATAAAATCTTTACTACAGACTTCTTGAATAACTCGTAAGGGAGGAAACGTTCTAGTGTGGACGCGAGATTGGTGTACGTCTCTTTTTAAATGGCTACTTACAAGGGAGGTGTTTCAGGTCATGACGCGCTTTTTGGAAATGGTTTGTTGCTTGTTGTAGGGGTCCATACAAGGGTCACAAAAATGGTTTCATTTTTGCTAT